TGTGTTTATTTGGTGTAAGATGTACTGATATGTTAGTCTATTAACTAGATTGTGTGTTTATTTGGTGCAAGATGTACTATATAAAAATGGAGTCAATTAGGGTGATAATGTGTTTAACTGTGAAGCCAACAACAGAAGAAAAAAAAATGAGAATTACAGAAGATTCTAAAAGCTGGAAATTAAGAAAAATTGATTCAACCTTTGCATCCCTCCTTACTGAAAATAAAACACCAATTTGATCCAGAAATAAAATGCAAAATTTTACATATCTGTGAAAAAGGTAAAAACACTAGATAGCCTTGAAATTTTACAAAAATAAACAGAAGCCTAAATACAAATTCACAAAAAAGTTCAGAATGACCAAACCAACTAAAGCTCCTCCCACTTCTCACCCCACTTGTCTCAAGATGAATGTCAAGATTAGTTCCAGTTCTTTTTTAAATTATATATAAGCCTATTTACAAACCGTTTCAGTCTGTACATGATGATGCCTTTACCATTATCGTGAATAAATGAATTTTTGTGAAATGACAGTTTCAAGTATCAATAATACTCCACTATTTTAGTTAAATTGAAAAAATCATTACGAAATATTACAATTTTTGTTATATTATGAATGTGTATAAGTTAGATATTAATTGCTAATTACATTTAATTTCTATTGAAATAATTTCAACTTTCAATGATATTTAAAAAGCAATTTAGTGTTAACATAATAATTTTTTTATGAACCATATTTCTATAAATATGTCTACTATTTTTCAGCAAGTTCTAAAAAATTTAACTTCCATATTTTCCCATTTTTGTGAAATATACACTACATTTAGGGATCAATAACTACTGATGACTCAATGCAGGATGGCTATAGAATCTTTATTTGCTTGCTACTACTCATAATTAAGACTAATTATTATTAACAAGCAAAAGTACCCATCTCCAGTGACAGGAAAAGTTTAAGTTAATCTAGCAAAAGTACCCATCCCCAGTGATGGGAAGACTTTAAATTAATCTAGCAAAAGTACCAATCCCCAGTGATGGGAAAAGTTTAAATTAATCTAGCAAAAGTACCCATCCCCAGTGATGGGAAGACATTAAATTAATCTATTAATTTAAATTATTTTAAAGACTTTAAAAAGATTAATTGTGTTGCACTCTTAGTTTCATCCAGAGCCAAAGTTCTGAGCTACTTTTATATCACCCACCATGAAAAGCAATTGTTTAGCATTTCAGTCATGCTAAGAGCCACTTAACAATAACACACGGTAAATCTACATATTTATTCTTTAAGTTACATCAAATTTTGAATTGTGACTGATAGTGTGATTAATTCCTAACACTTTAGTATAGAATATCCTGCTTGTAAATAAAATTTGACATCAACATTATTCATGTCTGTTCTCCTGTTATTTCAAAAGTGAATTAAGCTTTGCCCATATGCGCAGATTTTCAAGCGGGAGATAGGCGAATGCTCAGACAGACACCATGGTTTGCAATATATACAAGATTGTAATTTTTAATTAATATAGTAGAAATTACATAAGTGTAACAGCTCTCCACAACATAGATCCGAACACAATGGGTTTGCATTATGGACACATCACAATCGAAGAATACTCACTATTATGTGAAAAAAAAAGTGAGATTAAAAAAAACTATCTTGGTTTTGCAAAAGATTATTTTTGTTGCCATGAATATCAAAAATATGATAAAAAAAATATTTTCTTTGGGTATCTCTTAAAGATATCATTTTTTTTATAAAATTGTTAATTAATCATTGCTACAAATCATATTTCATATCTTACAACTGATTATTTATTGCAACAATTTCTGCAAGTCTTACACAAACAGGGCCGGCACGGCCAGGTAGTTAGGGTGCTCAACTCGAAATCTAAGGGTCACGGGTTCGAATCCCCGTCACACCAAACATGCTCGCCCTTTCAGCTGTGGGGGCGTTATAATGTGACAATCAATCCCACTATTCATTGGTAAAAGAGCAACTCAAGCGCTGGTGGTGGATGGTGCTAACTAGCTGCCTTCCCTCTAGTCTTACACTCCTAAATTAGGGATGGTTAGCACAGATAGTCCTCGTGCAGCTTTGCACGAAATAAAAACAAAAACAATACACAAACAGTGCATCACGTTTGAACTGGTAAGGCTTCTCTACATAACCCTGAATTTGGTCCTGTAAATGTTTCAATACAAACTTACCCTGAGATAATCATACGAGCAGTTTGGATGATGTTCCAATTGCAATGTTGCAAAGTGAAACTGTATACGTTTACCAAGAGCCACTCGAACAGTCCAGTAACAGTCTCTATTGGCAGGATACCTCCCAGGATAGCCAGGTGACTTGATGTTTCCAAATTCTGCAGTTTCTAAGTCTCCTCCACATACTGTAATTATAGACAACTATACTAGGACCACACAAAACAAACTGAGCTCAAATTTTTAAAACTTGAGACTACTAAAATTTTGTGTAAAATTGTTTCATCAAACCAAGCAATATGCATCTTTAAATCAACATTCTAGCAACTGAAATATTCAAATTAGCTTTACATATATTTAAGGTTAGAAAAATGTTTCTACAAAATATTTCTTGGAATTTGAATTTAAAAATTGAGTAGTAAGGTTGGTAATCTTTAGTTTTGAGGTAGTATAAACTAAATTGAGTAGTAAGGTTGGTAATCTTTAGTTTTGAGGTAGTATAAACTAAATTGAGTAGTAAGGTTGGTAATCTTTAGTTTTGAGCTAATATAAACTAAATTGAGTAGTAAGGTTGGTAATCTTTAGTTTTGAGGTAGTATAAACTAAATTGAGTAGTAAGGTTGGTAATCTTTAGTTTTGAGGTAGTATAAACTAAATTGAGTAGTAAGGCTGGTTATCTTTAGTTTTGAGCAAATATAAACTAAATTCAGTAGTAAGGCTGGTTATCTTTAATTTTGAGCTAATATAAACTAAATTGGATATATATGAGGCTGATTAAACTGCTCTATGAAAGATTTTCATGTGTAAGTGTTCATGAGATCATTTATCGTAATATACGAGTGTCTAAAGAAAAATTACTAACATGGGTTAGTGGTATTCCAAGAAATTTCAAATCCATCTCCACTAACGGAATGGTCAGAGCGAAACCACAAATATACTTTGTTATGTGTGGTCACAAGACTCCCATTACCAGGTGGAACATTACCACAGAAACGACCAATAATATGGGCACCGGCATTTGGTCCATCGTTGATTTGCAGAAAATCATATGAACAGTCATGAGAAAGTTCCAAATGGAAAGCGTGGAAAGTCAAATTAAGTACCTAAGGAAAGTAAATCAAGATATATTTGTATGAAAGCATTTTTTATCATAGAAGTACTGGTACTTTCATATATGTCCACATGTTTTGTTTTCTTTGAATTTATATTTACAGCTCAGTACAGTTTACACCTTTAAACATTTATCTAAGTTTAAAGATAATGCATTACCATTGTGTATGTAGAAATCATTATTATGACTAATTATTCAAAATATTTGTAACTTTTTAAAAGTATTTTAACTCTTAAGGCCTTGAACCAGTTGCACAAATATAACTGTTGTATGTTCTATTCAAGACATGTGAAAGGCCAAATATAACAACCCACCACTACGGTGTTTACAAACAGTGCTACTGAACCTATTCAAGTTACTACTGGAATACATATACATTTAAAATAAAATCAAACTTAAATGTCCACACTTTAATAACTCTAGCTGTAAGCAGATCCATTTATTAACAAAAAACCTACATACAATATTGTATATATATATTAATAATTAATAGCCTGTTTGTCAAGATAAGTATTCGTCTCAAGCTTTTAACTTGTATTAAATAGCTATTAATGTTACTTTTTAAACTGTAATTCAAATTAACATCAATGATATACCACTACTGTCATACAACTACTTCATTAATTCTTTATTAATAATTGCTCTTCTGATACCAGACAAGCATCAGTTTGTTTACTTGTCACAAAATACTAATACATCAACTTTTATAAAAAAAAAAGCATGTATACATATCCATGTACTCACCTTGCCAGCTTCTGTTGCAATAACCCATGCACAGCTACGCTGATGTGGGTACTGAATACCATACACTGAAGGGTATTTTAAAATTCCAGATGGAGAATTCAGTAAGCCTCCACAACCTGCACAATGACAATAGCTATAATTACTCCAAAATCAAAATGTAGCCTCTTTAATTCATGCACTTTCACAGAACGTGATTTAATAAGAAAACATTAGAAGTATATGTTTTGGCAATACAACTCAGACAACCAATTTATGAGTAATTACTATGTTTTGAATAGAATTTCTTATATATTTGTAATGGCTAGTCAAGTAAAAATGTGTATCCTGACAATAACTAATCCAGGAAAAATTTCATATCCATGAAAAAAAGTTGCCAATAGCATCAATAAATACCTTACATCACATAAACACATACTCTATAATTAACATTAATTAATCTAAAATATTAAATATACAATGTTAAAATCAATACACAATTAAAATCATATCAAAATAATGACTCTACATGTTTTGACGTGTCACACGTCATCCTCAGGAGTGAAGTTGCAAGAGATAAATTTCACATTTTCTTAAAGATCACGTGACCTGTCTGTAATTTTGCATTTGTGTATAAATATCAGAACAGGTCTCACCACCTTCTTAAACAGATATTTGCTGGACCTTCATCTCTATTTAATAAATTACAATTATTTTTTTAATTTCAGCGATTCTTGAGTATTAGTTGCTGTAATCCTTTAGGTTGAGCTAATATAATTGATTTTCCTATTATATGTTATGTTGGGTTTTACTTACATGTTATACTATAGCCAAATTTTCTGTTTTTTCATTTTTCATACATTTCTTATGTTCAGCTATATTCCACATTTATCCATTAATTGTACATCATCTTTACTATTGGCTAAAATTTGTTTTCTCTTATTTATCGGTTTAAACATTTGTTGTTGTTTAAAAATTTTAAATAAACCAGTAGTTATTAATAAATCTGTATACTTTACTCCAAATAAACACATAATCTAGCATTAGCATTAAAAGATTGGATTCAAGGGAGAACAAATGGAGAGGATCATTCTTATACAAAGGATGGACATAAGGAGACTCAAAATAAAGGGTACATCTTCACTCTCAATATCTTCTGGTTCCTTTCATCACTGTTTGGTAAAATCAAATAAATTCACAGAGTTTATCAGTCTTTAATACAACAATTATAATTAACAAGATGTCTTACAATTTTTTTTACATTTCCCAATATTAGCTTACAAGTGAAAATGTGCTATTAATGCTGTAATTAGGGTTTTATCTTAAAATACAAAAAACACATGCACTAATTAATCATATTTATTAAACTTCACATATACTTGTTGAAAGCACCACACAATTAGTGTGATTATAAAATTCCATGTAAATCTGTCTTTAAAAACTTTTTTCTTGATGTACTTACAAACACTAATTGGTTGAGTATTTCAAAGTTTATCATAATTATTCATAATGACACCAATTCTGAAAGTTAGTGCATCACTGTGCTGTCTTGCTTTTTATTTGAGTTTTAAACATATATATATATATATGTCAAAGTATTCTGAAAGTTTTGTCATTCTTAAGTTTTATTAAAAAAATACTTTACTTTGGAAACAGTAGTTTTGAAGATGTAAAACTAGTATTTAAAATTTTATGTATCTATGTTTACATTTATCTATTTTAAATTAATAGTAATAAAAAGTTTAAAAATTAAACATTTTTATTTTGTTTCACTTCATTAAACACTTTCTTGGGGAAAACAGATTTGGTTCCTTGTGTGTGTGTGTGTGTGTGTGTGTATATGTGTGTGTGTGTGTGTGTATATGTGTGTGTGTGTGCAGTCAGTAGTGGGAAACTGATAAATAAGAAAGTGTAAGAAAGTTAAAATAAAAACACCGTAAGATAGAATTTTTGTCAAAACTTTGTCATTAGTGAAACAAATAACAAAAACAAAGCATTTGCAATAAATTATTTAAAAAATATAAATAAGAAATATTAGAACAATTTTATTAGAAGTACAAATTCAAAAGTATAAATTGATAAAACCTATTTGGTAATAAACCATCTTCAAACCAAGTCTAATCCTTGAACAGTCTGAAAGGCAACACCCCAGGCTCAGAGTTACAGGATTGTATATGCCTTACTCAACCAAAGGAACAGAACTCATCCAGTCTGGAATTATGAACATTCATTCTCACTCCCCAATCAAGTGAGCAAAGAGCATTCCACTTGCTCCCGGAATTATGGAGAGGGCATGCTCAACCAAGAACCTGGGATGGGACCACACTGCATTCGGAATTACGAGGGGATAGTGGACCTCCTTTCCATGAACAATATACTAAACCAATGTTGATTAAAAAAAAGGTCCCTCAAACATCAAGGAAAGAAGAAAAGGAGCCTCACGGAGGGCTACAGCTGGTAGACGAACTCCCTCCAACAATGCATCTCTTCCTAATAAATACCAACAACATACAATCCAGGAAACCAAAGAAAGAGCAGAAATACGTCCACTCGGCAGTGGTAAGCCAAAACATGCTATTCAGACAAACGAGGGGGGACAAGGTACATCTATCCCATCCTGTAGTTAAGCAGCAAATCTCCCAGCATGAACAGCAATATCAGGTGAAGGAGGTAAAACAAAGTAGTCACCCTCAGACCTTTCAGCCATCAAGGAAGGAGTAGATTCAAAAGCAACCGAAGAAAGCCTTCAAACCTCACAAACCTGAGTGACTAACTGAAGAAATGGAGCAGGAGGTAGCTGATCCAAATTGTCTTCATAAGAGCCCGATGTAGTAAACAAAGGCTCTGGAAAATAGAGTCCAAATTCTCTCCAGGATTCGAACCCGCAACCCTCAGATTGCGAGTAAAGCACCCTAACCACCTGGCCATGCCGGTTTTTACTGAATCAAAACTTTTTTATTATTATAAAAATACTTCTTCTGGTTTGGAACCTTACAGTGTAAAATTTGACATCGTAAAAGAATAGGTGCATTTTTTTTAGATTTTGATTACTAATTAAAACAAATACAGTTAAGATAATCTTATTTATTACATACAGAAATGAAAGAAGTAATACTGATGACAAGGCTAACAGTATCTCAAATTTCTTATTTGCCTTAGCCTACGAATGTATGTGTCTATGAAGTTTTATAAAATTTTATCTGATTGTAATGAAAATGTTTGAAATAAAAATCTCATATGACATTTCAGAAGGGGACCCATCAAAAACTTTCAGAAGCTAACTTGATGTATCTTATTTCTACTGTAAAGAACATTACACTAGATACTGTTGGCTGTTACGAAGATTGAAATATAACAATTAAGATTTCAATTTCCGATTCTGCAATTACAAGTTTTTTTACATTAGTATTTGAATATTTCTTTTATTAAATACTTTCAATTATATTTACACAAATGATGCAACATAAAAAAAGGAGCAAATGAGAAAACGTTTAATTAAATTAATTATCCTTTGTAGCTAAGTATAGAAATGACAAAATTCCAAATCCTTTTTTTTTCATTTGTGATGTCAGAAAAACGCTAAGGTTAAAAAAAATCAGTTTAACACAAAAAAATAAAACTTTTTTTCCATTAGAAGCAAACTGAAGAAGAAGGATTCACCTTTCAAAAGTGCTTAGGCTGTAGGGTTTAGAATTTTTATCCTTTTTTTTTGTAATTTATATTTACATTGTGTAGTAACAAACTCGGGTTGCTTAATAACGTATTGTATTAGGGGCTCTTAAATATTGGTTATTAAATTAAGTGTTTATAATAGTAAAAAGTTCACGTAATACATTCATGATCTATAATTACAAGAAAAACATCTTAATTACTAATGATGTATAACTATAAAAGGTGAAAGAAAAATGTATAATCAATGAAAGAATATCTAATAATAAAACTGTGCTACTTACTAAAATTGTGAAATAAACTAACAATTCTGTTAATAAATCAAATATTAAAAGTGTAGTTATTTGTATTATTTTAATTATAACAACTACTGTATACATTTGAAAACTTCTTATGACCATTATGGTTTACTAACCTTCCCATCAAAAGCTCATTTGAGTCTCTCACTTCCACATTTTGATGATTACATAAGTTATTATTGAGATTAAATATCATGAAAGTCAGACTGATAAGAAACCCTTCCTTGGCCTTAATTATCCAGTTGCAGGATGAATGGCCAAGATAAAGTGATGGAGAATTAGGTGAAGTAATTATTCCCTGATCTTCTCTTAATATACCTCCACATCCTGAAAAATATGGGAAGAAAATAATTTACCATGGTAACAAGGTACCACTTGTATGAAAATTAGAATGCCAGATATATAACACTTAGAAAGATAATGAATTTTTCAAGTAAACTCCACATGTTTGGTTATTCCAGCTTTTATAATTGTTAACATTAATAAACATAATAACAATTTTCCGTAGTTAATCTTTAACGACTATCTTAGAACTAATTCCCAATTTAAGCTCTACTAAATATTACCTGCAGCTACCTGAAAAATATAGCATGTCATTTACGTTAGTCAGAAAGATCAAAAAAGTTTCCAATTAAATTATCATAAAAGTTCAAAATTATTGTTTATTTGAGTATATTTTCCATGACATCCACAAATATCAAAAGAAAAGGGCTTTTGATTTAAACAGAAGTAATAAGCCAAGAAAGTTGTTTATATATGTGTTTGTGTGATCTTTTTTTGATCTCTTATAGCTACATAATTATAAGCTCTAACGTAAGTCCAGAAATATCAAAAACAGTGACAGTTAAACTTTAAAGTATTCATGTTACGAGTTTCTTTTCGAGCATAACACAAAGATTTCTTACATTTTTTTTCCTTTGTGAAGGTTGGTATGAAATGATAGACCATCAGATTTTCATTCCGTTATGTGTTAAAATGACTACTGCTCTATTTATTGTGAACTAACTTTTTTAACTGTCAAATCTAGGCAAATATAGCCAACAACCAGGTGAATATTCAAAAGGGAAACATGACATAGACAGCTTACCTATATCAATGGTAGAATAATTTGCCCAGAATCCATGATTTTGAACTGACCCGTCCGTAACAAATTTTATAAGCAGCTCATTATATAACGATGTTACTGGGACAGGCAAAACCGAACCACAAAAACGACCAATTGGTGTTTCAGAGCTTGTTCTTCCGTCTGTAATCTAATATTATCAGAAATAATTTTACAACGTTAATTACGAGTTTAATTAAAGTTTGGAATATTCTGTTTCTTATACAATATATATAAAATAACTCTGTAACAGATTTTCTTATAAAAATAATGCAACATTTTCAAAATTAATTCAACAGAACAAAATATTTACTTAATGTACAAGTATTTATATACAAAAATGTATTTATTAAGAGATCAAATAAAAAGTTTTATGTAGCATACCATTTGTCTGTAACTTAACTCTTTCGTAGCGGGCTCATGAATTTTGCGGAAATTGAGTGGTGAATTTCGCTTGTACAACAATGCATGCAGTAACTCTGAAAGTTCTTAACATATCCTCTTAAAAAATGGTAAGATTTTCTTAAAGTATCTTGTACACAAAGAATACGTTCAAATTCGATGACGAGGAACCCACTTTGAGACTAATAATGACTGGAGACGGCTTTAATGGGTAATGAAGAAAAAGTTTTTCTTCATTACCCATTCAAGCCGTCTCCAGCCATTAAAAGAATGACGTTATTATAATTAAGTGTTTTTAGTAAAAATGTTATTTTTCTATTGTAGTTACTTGAATTCAAACTATTAACAAATAGAGTACAAGGTGATTTTTCATTTTAAATATAAAAAAAGTTTTTTGTCTCGTAGTTTCACATTTCATTTGCATAATATCTAGAACCTCCTAAAAGGATATCAAAAGTTTTTAAAGTAAATCTTTATATTATATTTTTCATTTTCTCTGCCATATCACTAACCCTAGCTATTAATATCAACGTACAATGCAATGAAATACTTAAAATTAGGAAATAGAAAAAAGAACACATACCTCTTAAAATTTTTCATAATATCTTTAAAGATTTTTCTTTTGTTAAATTCATAATTTCAGGTTCTTTTCCTTTTCAGACATAGTTAATTTTAATGTTTTATTTTCCGTTCTTGTCCTTTACCACTTATTATTCATCTCGACACAAGTCAATGGTGCCCTTGAGGCATATTACAGTTTCTTTTGTAAACATGTGCAACCTTTTGGCAACATTTTTGTTTACCTTGTAATACAGTAAACCTTGAGAACGGACACAAAGTATGATGTATATATAAAAAAAAATTAAACCTTTTAAATATGTATTTTGAAACATAACTAATATATATAATTAATTAAAATATAATAGTAAGACTTAAATACAATTTAAACTATATCTCTAACTATAACATATTTAGGTTAGAAACAACCATAAGTGCTATAGTCGATCAAGCAGCCAACAATACTAGAGCCAATTACCCGTGAAATGCGAGGAGAACTGTGCTCCAATTTCAAAATAACTGTTGTTAGATTATTGTGTAAAATGAGCTCTTTCTAATGAATATAAAATATAAACATGTGTATGAAACATCTATATGTAGGCTATAAAGCTCAAACAAATCTGTTGAAGGTATGCATGGCACCTGTCAGGGATTGAAGAAATTTATTACTTGTTTCAACTGTATTCAAAAGGTTATGTAAGCATCTTGTTGTCTAGACGTACCTCTACTCAACTACCATTGTATTATTGAAGTTACAGACAGCCAAACTAGAACATTTTCATAGCTTGCTAGACACGTGACAATACATCTGAAGTTTAAATAGTTTTTTTAAAGATTATTTTCAAATAAAGAACTTAAAACTTGGATAAAATAAAACTTCAAATCAGAACACGCATTATAATATTAATTTCATTTATATACATTGATAGTAAAGGCATTTAATTAAATTTTGAATGTAACAGTGACTTGTGGAGAAAAGCATTTAACAAGATATAATATGACTGAAGTTATATATGTATGCATCAAGTGTTTTTATATCCTTAACAAATGTAAACTATCACAAAATAGTTTGTTATATCTCAACCAACTTAAAAAATTCCATTATTATGGACCCTCACCTCAACATAATCAAAAGAACATGTAGAATGAGGCTCTACAGCAAACTGATGAAAGGTAAGATGGATCACCTTGTTAACAGGTACAATAATGTGATAGTTACAGGTTCGTCTCGATGGATATGGATCTGGATAATTTGGTGAGTGAATAACTCCAGTCTCAGATGTGAAAATTCCACCACAAACTAATTTATAATGAACACAAAGTAAACACAATCAGATTGTTACTTATTTCTAACAATATTGAAGAAGAAAATGCTGTCATGTATTCATGAATTTCTCTCATCACTAGATAAACTGAATATCATTTTCATAACTACTTATTTATACAATCACGCTTGCATTATATAAAAACTTGCATGTACATGTATTGTAGCACTTACACGAACTACTAAAATAATTATCAACAATTTAATTAAACAAGCCAAACACTACATGAAATGTCTTAGCAAAAAACTCAAAACTCCTAAAATCTAAGATACAAGTTTAGAAGTTTGTAAGTCAAGATTCAGCTTAAATGTTCTACAACTTATGTTTGACTGATTATACGGGTATATATGCATAAATTATCATGAACACATCAGCATTAATAACACTCACAGAGATTAATTCTAAACTTAAATAATCCAAAATTATTATAATGAATAGTTTTCAAATCATTTGATATTCACATTACTGCTGTTTTTTTCCCACTGTGATATTCAAGCTAGAAGGCTAGGTTTACTTAGAAATTTTATATTTTGGTTCTAACTGTTTAAAAAACTTGCTATATTTACATATATTTTAAAACAGTAAAATCAATGATGTGATACGTGAGCTACACACTAAGAAAAGTTGCAACATTACAGCTACAAATACTTAAATTGACCTTAAAGTAAATCTTCCTATTCTTATAGTTTAACAGAAATGACCTTATAGTAAATCTTCCTATTCTTATAGTTTAACAGAAATGACCTTATAGTAAATCTTCCTATTCTTATAGTTTAACAGAAATGACCTTACAGTAAATTTTCCTATCTTTATAGTTTAACAGAAATGACCTTATAGTAATTCTTCCTATCGTTATAGTTTAACAGAAATGACCTTACAGTAAATCTTCCTATCGTTATAGTTTAACAGAAATGACCTTATAGTAAATCTTCCTATCCTTATAGTTTTATAGAAATGACCTTACAGTAATTCTTCCTATCGTTATAGTTTAACAGAAATTACCTTACAGTAATTCTTCCTATCGTTATAGTTTAATGGAAATTACCTTACAGTAAATTTTCCTATCTTTATAGTTTAACAGAAATGACCTTACAGTAATTCTTCCTAACCTTATAGTTTAACAGAAATGACCTTATAGTAAATCTTTCTATCCTTATAGTTTTACAGAAATGACCTTACAGTAATTCTTCCTATCCTTATAGGTTAACAGAAATGACCTTATAGTAATTCTTCCTATCCTTATAGGTTACCAGAAATGACATGGAAGAGAAACTGCTGACAAGAAAGATTCTCAAATTAAATTGTCTGTAAGTACTGTACATAGCATGAATTCTAAGAAATGTAGTGTACTGTCCAGTACAGGTAAAGAAAACAATGAGCCAGTAAAACAAACTACTACTGATTAAAACTTTGTAAAACTATTATAAATTTAGCTTTTCAATGTCATAGGCAAAAAACATTATTTGTTAAAATAATCGTAATAAAAACAAAACATATAAACAATTCTATTTTATCAATACTTTATGTTCTTCTCTTCAATTGTTTTAACACGAGATAGAACACAATGTTACTATAATGTTGTATATAGTTTTCTACTTTAATAATATAATTTAAATTATAACAAAGTATTTTCAAGAAATAATTAATGTATCAGATTGTTATTCAATTGTTTTGAGTGATTCAATAATCTTGGTTTAAGTTCATTATTTTAACAACTTTTGTAAGACATCCAAGAAATAATGTAATATTATATTACAACATATTAACATAAAACTAAGTTAACTATTTTAGTACCATGATCAGCATCCAGAAATACAAACAACTAATTGAATTTAGCTGATACACACATAAAGAACATAAGAAATAAAAACATAAACATGACCTCACCTGTTACGTACGTTGCCCTAAATCCACGACCAGTAAAGATCACATCAGCACGGAATCTTATCCACATTTTGTTTGAAGTAGACAACCTAACTGGGGGTATGGTAGTTCCACAATAGCGACCAATGAGTGGACTTTCTTCACTTTCCCCATCCCGTATCTGTGAAAAATATGAGTTACAACTGCAACAGGAAAAAAAAAAATCTTCCAACAAACTAATGTAAAATTCAGAAAAGGCATTATTCTTCCGTTTAACTTATTACTATTCAGAATTACATGTACAGCTACTTCTTTTAATTTTAAATCTTAACCCACACATATAACTAAAAGTAAAACTGAAAAAAATGTTAAATTAAAAAAGACTGAGCTTAAGAAAAAAATCTTGAGCAAGGCTGGCTTAACAATTGCTATAGATTGATATTACTAGACACTTTCATATTTTCATCTACAGAGTATCATCAGTACCATTCAAGATATCAAATGTTTTAAGTGTACAACTGCCCTTGTCCAGTAGGACTGGGTGACCAATTGACCCTCCTTCATGATAGGGATAAGGACTTGTAAGAATAGTATCATACACTTGTAGCTTTAACCAATGAAAAGCAGCCATTAAGTTGAACAGAAAAATGTAGGTATGTAGATACATACGTGTGTTTCAGTTGTATAATGTCATCCTTAAAAGCTATCAAAGATAAAATCTTCACTAGTTAATAGATAGTAAAAACTGGTAGATGATAAAAGTATTGCATGGTTACCATTACTAGAATGAAATATACTTCCAAAAGGCAACTTTTACTTATATTAATTAGTATTTGACAGTATATGTTTGTTAGCGAAAAAACCAATTTAATTTAATCTAATTGATTTTAAGTTGCAAACTGAGCAACATAATTACTGTAGCATTTGTGATGAGAGAAGTTTTAGGTCTTTATTAGAATGATCTAGTCATAATTACTCAAAAATCATATATCACATAATGAAATAAAAAAAAGTTTTTTTTCTTTTTCTTATTGTATGGTTGTTTGAATTTTTTCAATCCAATGATTTATAAAAAAAATATTACATAAAGATACTATGTATTAATTTAGTTTATTTATTACAAATGCAAACCTGTAAGTCTTCCAACATTGTTCACTCTTATGTTCAATTTTAGTCAAAACTTTACTAGTTAATGACTAATTCAGTATTTTAAGTGAGCTGGTACACTGTGTTTAACCCCTAGTCAGATTATTAGGAACAAACAACTTCATTTGCATTATCTTACATTTTAGTCAACTTCATTTTTTTTTTATTATTTAAGTAAAATACATGGTTTAATGAAATAACCTTTTAATAAGATCTGTCACATTTTTTTTGCGTGTATATGAATTCACGCCAACTGATATTGTTTTCTTTTAGAATCTACTCAAGCATTGAAACATTTTGTGCATACTAAAATATTTATGTTATAACAGCAGCCCAACGGTATCACAATCAATGTTTGCTAATTATAAACTTGCAACTTATCATTTACTGCAGTGTCTAAAGCCAAACAAATATAGTTTTCTAAGACACTATCCACTAACTTCCACATAATCCCAGTGACAAAGTTCGTGATGTTCAACATCAAACACTGAAAACGTTAACTCCACTCGTTCTTCTGGATGAACTCGGATTACCCAATCACACTCTATATTGGATGGATAACTTTCAGGGAATGAAGGAGAACTAAGAGATCCTGATGGTGATGTCAAAAGTCCCCCACAACCAGGGATACCTAAAATGGATAAACATATTTTGTCAAAAGTCCTCTGAAACCAGGGTTACTTGAAATGAATAAATGTATTTTATCAAAATTCCCCCACAATCATGGGTACCTGAAATGGATAAATTTATTTTGTTTAAACTCCATCACAACCAGGAATATCTGAAAAGGATAAACATATTTTACAATATATAGTGCAAGAAAAAAAGCTTAACCAACTATCAAAGGAATACTCAAACTGCTTAGACCAAATTTGTATATTTTTGTTTTAACGAGAATTTTACACGTGGCTTACACTTACCACAATCCTTCAAAACTGATAATAAAAAATATATATATAAAAGAGTAAAACAAGTTTGAAAATCAGTTTTAATGTTGAAAAAAAAACCTCAAACACCTAACTTGCAAAAATTTCCAAACAAATGTTTAAGACATTTTTTAACACCTTTATTATTTTTTCTACGTAAATCACAATTAGATTTACTGAAGAGATTTTAATAAAATAATGCAACAATTTTATGCAACCCTAAGCAAATTAGGAAATGTAGCTTTGATCTTTGGCTTTTACTAAACTTTTGTACTTCTCATTTAAACAAGCAAAGTACAAGAATGCATTGCAATACAAAAAAATTATATTGTATTCCAAGTAAGAACTTACACAGCAAATTTTCAGAAAAACAGAACTTCAAATTACAACAGTGATATATAGTATGGGTATATTAAGATGATTCTCAATATGTAAAATGAAACTAATGTTTACATTTTGACCTAGTGCTTGAAGAAGCTCATCTGGACTGTCGTACATGTACTGAAACAAACCTGAACAGAAACATAAGCAACCAAATCTAAGATATTTCTACTGAATGTATATCACTTGAGAAGGAACTGAAGTTTTGTTTGTTTCAGAGGTTTCCTTCGAAATAAAGGAATAATAACTTAGCTAATATAATACTTTGAATTATAATGTACTTGATAATGTTAAGTTCATTAAACTACATTGATAGTAAAGTGCTTTAATTAAATTTTAAATATAACTCAGCAACTTTTGTGACATGTGCAGAAAGAGTGTGCAGTTAGTCATATGGTTAATGGTGTTCAAAAACAAAGGGATATGGATGAGCTAGGGGTATCAGGACCATCCACAAAGAGCTCTGCAACAAGTACTACCCCAGTTGTTGTTAGTAAAATGAGGCTTCTTGTAACATATGAGAATCCGTGAGCACAATGTCAATAGCAAAAGCCATAAACATGTCCAAGGGAACAGTACACAACATAATCAAGAAGGATCTCTAACAAGAAAAGCAACACAAGTCATGTTTACACACATTGCTTCCACAACATATCTCTTTAACTGTCACATACCTTAAGCATCTATAGAATGACACAGGTGTTCATGGTATTCCATAAGAAGACATACCAGTCAAGTTGCGAGATACAGCATCTATAGATTTCCATGCAAATCAGACTGTTGAAACAGGTGCTGAGAAACTATCTTCCTTCTATACTAGAAAGATTATGGAAAGACCACAAGGAACAGTGGTGTGATTTTGACATGACAGCCTTATGAAAGAGCCTATTGCAATGGAAACTACATTACAAGGCTATTGCCAAGATGGACAAGTGTCAGATAGAGCATGATCAGATATGGCAACATGGGTTCTAAGGATGTGATGAGGCTCCAGTTTCATTTTAATATAGTGCTCTCAATCTCTACACAAGTAAACTTAAGAACATTAAGATACAGATTCACATAATTTTCAAATATTTAGTACTAATATAGTTAACCTGTGAATATAGGTACATATTTACAGAAACTGATGAATAAAAATAAAGACTGAATGACATTCCCTTAAACCCATATCTTGTGGTTTCATGTTTGCATTTACGAGAAATTTCACATTTACCTGCAACAGATGAGTAAGTAATATGGAATCCTTGGTCATTCAGAGAATGGTCAGAGTGGAAATGAACCCATGCATATGGTCCTGATGTAGTCAGTGGCCTAGGTGTTTCAGTCTGACAATACAATGCTAATTCTGGATCTCTCTCTGTCATACCATCCCGAATCTGAAAAATAAAAACATGTATAAAAGTATACTACAATTCAGTATTCTGGATAAACTGCTGCAATCAAATTGTATACTTTTAGGATTAAAATGAATTTCCAAGAAGTACTTAACTCTGAAATACTGATAGCTTCTCCATGTTTAGTTGCTCTTTCAGCAACCATGCGACTCAAAGTTCTAAATGTCATTGATGCAATCAACATACCCAGAAATATGCACTCTTTCAACTTTCAACTGATTCATTGCATATACATCAAAATAATTTACATAAGCTCTGCTTTCTCACTATAGTTCAGATTTCTTATTTACACTGATGGAAAACCACATTTAGGACGGTAGTTCATTTTAAATATATAAAGTTCAAATATTGATACCCAAAATACCCACACTAAAAAGAAGATGAGAACTGTGGAGAGTTAAGATAATACAAAAAATGTATGTTCCAAGGAAGAAAGACGATAATCTAGACCACACTAAAGATGTTGCCAATCAGTTTGATTATAATCCAGAACCACAGATATTTAAAAAAAAATGTATGGTATTACTTGAACACCCTTATTATTAATGTCTCATACACTTCTGTTTTCCATAATTACCTGTATGGTATTACTTGAACACCCTTATTATTAATGTCTCATACACTTCTGTTTTCCATAATTACCTGTATGGTATTACTTGAACACCCTTATTATTAATGTCTCATAAAACACTATAATTAATGTTAACACTGATTCAGTAAACAATACACTCCTCTCAAATCTCATTGCAATAAGTAGACTAATCAATAATGTATAAACTTTTATCTTCCAAAACTGAAAACCTCCCTTTCCTTTCAACCACCATTGGAGTGAAATTAAGTATTGATCATATTTAAACACTTAACACCTTTTAAATGTAACTTTTAAGATCAACTTTGGAATTGGTTATTTGATTTTAAATTCATCCCCAACAACATTTCAAAATTCTTCATTTACTTACTAAAACATTGTAGCACAGTGTAGTTTTGATACTGTGTTGAAAAATGAGTGTAAACGTTTGATTATACATTATTTTATACAAAGTTGTTTTCACCTAATATTAATAATTGTAAAAAAAAAGTGAAACTGTACTTCATATACTATGAAGAAAGTTAAAAAAAAAAGCTTACCATGAGAAGCATCTAGAACTGTAAAAGAAGCAGAGAAAGCATTAGAATTTTCATGATATTCATTAACATATTTGATTCTTAGTTCATTTCCTGTAGAGGTCAACACTGGAGGTAATTGGGAGCCACAAAACCTATAAAAAATTATACGAGGGACATATATAGTTGGCTAGCAAACAAACATGTATTTACATAATAAGTGTGTTTCTTTAGAAAAATATTCTGACCTGATAAACCCAGTCTGCAGAAATTCGTAATCTAATCATTAAAATATTTAAGAAATGAAAGTAAATTCTTAAAAAAGTATTAATATTTTTGACCAGACCATCACCTTATGCACACATGGGCTAAGTGGCTAGTTGCTAATTCTGAACTACTAGGCAGATGGAATGCAGAAAATCAACAGCATCAACTGCCACAAGGGCTTTGTTGAACTTTGAATCAACTTATGAGCTTGACTATCACTCTTATAATGCACTAATACTATAATACACTGATTAACTGATTTGTTGTAAGGTAACGTACCAAAATTAAGTGGTTTAGAATGTGATCTTTCATTTTAATTTCAACAGTTCTTACTTTTCCAGAGTAAAGGACATAAAAACCTGGGAAAGACGAGATATAAAATGTTCATTATCTTATATTTGACAGAAGTCATATAAAAAGTGATATAATTTAATCCTTTCTGAATTTTTTTGAGTAACTTCTAATGGCATATACTAATAAATGAAAGGTAATTATGGAAAACAGAAGTCCCTTAATTAAAAAAAAAAGAAATCCAGAACAA